CTAATATATATATATATATATATATATATATATATAACATGAGAATTGAACCCAAGACCTTGCAGTGGATTAACAAAGTTTTTATTGACAAACCACACCATGATGATTTTCACTCGTACAATGATCATTAATTCATTATAATAGACAAAACAAAAAGATAGAGGATAAGGACTTTTCTTTCCTGTCTCATCGACCCACAGTCCATGGGTTTTCCAGTAGTGTTGTCGGGATGATTATAAACGGGCAACAATCTTGAAATGCAACCATACTCACACCATAAAATATCCAAACAGACATTAAACAGAAAGGCAACAATCTTGAAATGCAAGTATACTCACACCATAAAATATCCAAACAGACATTAAACAGAATTCATGATCCTTGAATTTCTACTAATGAAAAATGCACCTATGATATAATTACATCTTTATCAAATAAATCGAACCAAAAGAAGGACAAATTAAAAGTACCTCATTTAATTTATCGAGGGTGGCCAAGGTACTGGTTTGCTCCTTGGGCTTTCCAAAAAGCCTGCCAAACATCTTCGCCGGCTTCTAAATAACAAGTCCCTGGAACCAAAACAGAGATTTAGCCCCAAATCCCCAATTCAGATCCAAATCACAAGTTACAAGATCGCTCTTTGATCAATCCATAACATCCCATACAAGATATATCCTCGTCGAAGCGAACCAAATCGATAAAAAAAATGCTAAACAAGCAGGGAAAAGACGTATTGGCAGATTATTTAATCCAATTCAATCAATACCGATCTCAACACGAACCGCGGAAAGGAAACTGATGGACCGGCCTTTGCAATTAGGGCTTCGACGAAGGCGATCGATACGATTCAGAAGTATGATACTAGTGGAGATAGAGAGGACCCCTTCGACCAAATTGGAGCGAAATGGGGAAAAAAGGGGGCCGCGTTCCCCACATATAGAAAGAGACGAAGGAGAACGATAAGCTTACTCTAGTTTATTTAATAAGTACCCTCTTATTCTTTTCACTTGTTTTTGTCAGACACATGAAGTGGGTGAAACAATAAAATCATAAAAAGTAAATAAGGAGTGCAAATAACGGAAGAGGCTAAGCGTCAGAGTCGGATGGGTATCATTTAGGATTCAAACCCGAATCCAACAAGACACATTTCTGGATCCAATAAGGATCGAGTGTGGGTCTGACTTGATAGTTTGAATGTTTTATAGGCCATGAACGTATCTATTCAATTAATTTATCCTAAAATTCTCGGAAAAATGCAAATTTATCAGAAGCTAAATTATTGAAATTAATATTAAAAGAAAACTAAATTAACTTTAATGACTTATGTTTCCTCCTAAAAGTTTTGGGTTGACTTATTTGTCCTTATAAATCTGGTGGTTCGCATATCTATTCTTTCACTATTTGAAAATAACATATTTCCCTTTCAAAAATTTAAATCGATCCATATTTGTAACTCCAACCGATATCCATTTAATAAGTCTGGTCGTATAATTCTTTTACATCATCTATTTCTTCTTATATTGTTTGTTGTATTTTTCTTATAGATATTTTTATTTATGTTTTATTAAAAATATATCCATCGATAATTTTTACTATTTTTATAATAATTACATATACTCATCTCAATATTTTATATATATATTTAAATTATTTTAAAAATTATGGAATAAATATAGGAGTACCAATTATATATATATATATACACTGTTATTAAAAATATATTAATATCAATAGAAGTTTAAAAAATATTATGTTAAATTAAGTATTCAAAACATTAATATATTTTTTCAAGTTATTAATTAATTTAATTAATAATTTATCAAAAGATTTTTAGATTATTTATATATTATCCTTTATAATTAATTATTTTTAACATCGCAATTCTTATACTTTTAAAAAATATATTAACATTCTTATAGTTATGAAAGTGAAATATTTAACTCGTTACTCTAACAAAAAAAATTTCTTTTAATTTTTAATTATATAAATTATTATTTTGATTTTATATAAAAATATTAAATATTTTATTTTCATAAATATAGACATCCTAATATAATTTTTAAAAATATAAATATCAAGATATTAAATGTAACTAATTGCACGCATAATATGCTGAGAAAACTTGCAGTTAAAAACCAGATAAAAGGATAGGATGTGCCAAATATCCTCTGCCTTATTAGTAATTACAATATGTGGCAGGGTGGAATGTCCTAAATGTCGTTGTTCTTGCCCCTACTGTTTGCTACTTTTAGCCTTGGTTATGTTTCCCATTTGGCTTTGCCTGTCTCTCTCTCTCCACCGCGAGCGGCGGTCTGGGACTCTGGGGAGAAGCAGGTGAGCTACTTCGTCGCTTCCTCTTCCATCAAACCTTAATCGGTGATCGCCATGCTCTCCGCAGCGACCGTTCACTCTGTCTCTAGCCCGCCATCTGATCTCTTCCATTAGCCGATCCTCCTTTTGCTCCTCTCGATCTGTTGTTTGTGAGGGGAGAGGGCAGCAGCATCCTTTTTCTTTTGTTTTACTTTCTTTTCAAGTTTCACTAAGTTTCGTGTCCATTACAAGTTGTTGGATGCGATCCTGCGATCGCTTGCTCATCCTTCCGTTTTGGCTTCATCTTTTACAACATTTACAAGATTTCCATATGTTAATGCTTCATTTTTCTAGTTGGTTTCGTAGTTTCACTTTCGTACATGAAGAAATTGTGGCGTACGCACTGATAGTCATACGCTCCTCTGTTATCCTTTTATTGGAGAAATCAAATCTTCGTTACCTTTTCTTCCATTTTGTAGGTTAATTAGTTGTCACTTTTGCATTTGTTCACAGCATCAGCAATGGCTTCGGAGAAGATAAAGCCAAGAGGTATACAGATTATCCGAATGAGTGTTTCTTAAAGA